AGAGAGAGAGAGAGAGAGAGAGAGAGAGAGAGAGAGAGAGAGAGAGATCTTAATGACAAAACCAGGAGACAAAAATAATTTGTGTTTTAAATCAACCCTAGAATCATTTCAAGGATCTGGGAAGAACATTTCCAAAGAATTTGAGACCATGTACTAGTTTGGAGAACAGGATGCACTCCAAGCTTTAAGCTAGTGTATATCTAAATTGACGTTTTAAATAAAATTTGTTACATATTAAGTCAATGAATTATTTTGATTTTTGTTTTGGTGTTGAACTATCCTTGCATTCCTGGGATATCTCCTACTTGCTCTGATGGCTGATACTCTTATCACAGTTACTATGTGCAGAGGCTATACTTGTGTTCATCTATGTAATCTTCATTATCTCTGATCTATAGATGCTATTATTTTCCCCAATGAAAAATAAGAAAATTTGAGGCACATTGAGGTTAAATTGATTTTTTCAAGATCATACAGTCAATCCATGGGCTTATAAAGACAGAAAGTCAGATTCCAAAGACTATGCTATTAATTATCAGTACACTTCTGGACTTAAATAACTATTTTTTAAAATTGTGTTTGTTTGCATTTGTGCTAATATATTATTATTGTCTAAGAGTATACTTTTTTTTTGTCAGGTCTTTGTTCATTATGATTTAAATGTTTAGCTAAGCCATTTATATGAGAGAGGATTATCTTTCTCTGAAGATTTGGTAACACCTTAAAACCTTTTTTTTTTTTTTAAATAGGAATAGTGGATAACTTTTTACTTCTCTTTCTTTGTGATTTATGTGTCATTCTAACATTTCTTGGGCCAATTCTAAATTGCTTACTAACATCTATTTTTCTAGTTTGCAATCATGTTGCTATGAAAATACATTGCTATAAAAAATTTGTACATAGTATATATTTTTAATGTCAATACTGTCCATATTGTCATATTCTTTTCTTTTCCTTCCTGATTTATTTCTTATACTTTTCCATCAATCATTGCAACAATAAATTGGTATCACATACATTTTTGGTTGTTGCTCTGAATCTTCCATTTTGCTGGGCTTTGGCTGATCTCAGCTGAGCTTGCCAGGACTCAGCACAATGGGCTGGACCCAGGGCTTTCAGGTGAGTTCATGTCTATTCTGCATCATGTAATTATCCTGATATTAATGGCTTCTAGGGACATATTCTTCCCATGGTTGGGAAAGAAACACAAGAGGCCACATTAACTTACAAGCACACTTGAGGCTACTGTTCCCTTCCTATCTACTCAGAGTCACAGGGCCAAACCAAATATCAAAGGGGCTAGGTTGTTTACTCCACATACTCCAGTGGGAGCCTCTACAAAGTACTTTAGCAAAGAGCTTGGATTTATAATTCTATTCTAAGAAGGAAGTTAAAATTGGAAACAATTATCCAAACTACCACAGTCATCTTTGCCAAGTTTATGGGTATTTTTTTTTGCATTTTATTTCATTATTTCATTTTATTTCATTACTAGCTCTATTGTTTTTTCTTTTCTTTATTTCTTTATTTTAATTTATGTATGACAGCAGAATGCATTACAATTCTTATTACACATATAGAGCATAACTTTTCATATTTCTGGTTGTATACAAAGTATATTCACACCAATTGTGTCTTCACCCATGTACTTTGGATAATAATGATCATCACGTTCCACCAGCCTTTCTGACCCCATGCCCCCTCCCTTCCCCTCCAACCCCTAGTTTTTTTTCTTCTTATTGTTCATTAATTTAATTTAAATTTATCTTTAATTATATATTTTTAAACATACAGTTGCCCCTTAGTATCTATAGGAGATTGATTCCTGGTCCCTACAGGTATCAAAATCTGCAGATACTTCTATGTATATATATAGTATTTGCATACAATTTATGCATATCCTACTGTGTACTTTAAATCCTCTCTGTATTACTTATAATACTTAAGCCCATGTAAATAGTTGATTTACTATATTGTTTAGGGAAAAATGATAAAAAAATTTTGTATATGTTTAGACAGACATTATATATATATATATATATATCTATCTGTGATTGGTTGAATCTGCAGATGCAGATGGATAGTGAGGAGAGTGGCTGTTTATTATCTATTGTATGAAGTCCATAGTCCTTGGAGGACTATTTCTGGGGCTTGCTGTTTCTGTCGACTCTCATTCTGCTTATTTCCAACTTATTTGAGATTTTTTACAAGGTGAATTTAAATTCACCTCATCTCCATTTAAGAAAGCCCTGTGGTATCTGGGTTGATGGTAAGGTTCTCCATTGCCTGTATGTCTCCACTGCACTAGGTGTGACAAGCTGGGACACGTAAAGCACAGTTTTTCATCTAGGAATAAATACAAAATCCAGTAATAATAATAAAGAATTTTAATAGTAATAAGTTCACTAATTCCTGGTGCCTGGCAGGCTCTCTGTAACAAGGAGAGCTACTGAATGGGGTACGGTGACTTGAGTATACATGAGCTGTCGGCCCTTAAGAAGCCAAAATGCCAATCATAATACAGAATTTAAGGTAAATGACCTGACCTTGCTCCCCACCAGGAAAAAAGCAAACTTCTCGAGTTATTTGGTCAAAGTATTTCAAAGTATTAGTGTGAGTTTGGGTGAAGGCAGGCATCAAAGGTCACATTAGGTACTTGGTCATTTGATCAGAGTCCAGCAATAAGCAGTGGATGCTTCCAGACAGCGTGGCCTGTAACAGCCACAGCCTAATCTGGCACATGCTCCTGCTCCAGGTCTCTGCTTCTTTCCTTGCTCTCTTGCTGGGTGCTTCCTATGTGCCCAGCCCTGGGCTGTACCATGGGGACAAGGAATTGAACTGGACACAGTTCCTGCCCAAGAACAGTAACAACACAGGTGAAGTGGACACAGAAGTTAGCTCTAGTCAGAGAAAAGCCAAGAGTGCTGCTCTGAAGACACAGTGCTACAATTTGCAATTGTTCCATCAATTTTTCTTGAGCACTGGCAGTTTGTAAACACTGTCCTAGGTGGACATGCATCAGCTGTGAGCAAGATGTCAGCTCATGAAACTCTCATTCTAAAGGGGTGAGGTGGTCAATAAGCAGATAATCAAATAAACAACAAAAATTCACACAGAGAAGCAGAAAATTAGAGCAGAGAATCATTATTTATCAACATGCGTACTTAAAATTTAATGGTTAGGAAAGACCTTTCTCCCAAGACAATATTTAAGATGAAATCTGAATGACAGCAAATGACAATGCAAAGACAGAGGCAAGCGTCTGGGCAGAGAGGCCAGTTGGTGCAAATGCTCACATTCAGCTTTGAACTTAAGTTGTCTGCAAATATGTCTTCCCCTTGTCCTAGCTCTGTGTCATGTCCCAAGAAGATATTTGACAAATTTCCTGGATGATGAGGGAAAAGTGAGTTTACCCAGGGTTATAGGTCTTTCATGTCTCCACCCTGGCCCTGCAATAAATGAAACCCAAATGAAGGGATGAGAACAATGGATACAGAGATGTATGCTAGTGTGTGCATGTGTGCGTGTGCATGAACACATGTGTTTGTCTGGTATAACATCTGTGCATGTTTGTTTTGGAAATAAGTATCTAGATGGAACCGTGCTGAGAGCTTGTGACTCTATAGGATCAGAGTGACTGAGCTGTACGAATGGATGTGTGGGTGGGACAGGTGAAGGAGGAGTTGGTTTACTATGGAGACACTGCCTAGAACTGTTCTGGAGACCCCACCAGCAGCCCAGGAGAACTACCTAGTTATAGCAGCTCCAAGAATGGTTGTTTATTAGAATTTAATTTAATTTTCATTTATTCATTAATTTTTTGCAGGGCTATGGGTGGCATCCAGGGCCTCATATATGCAAGACAAGTGTTGTACTGCTAAACTACATCTCCAGCCCAGGATAGTTGTTTATTAATCTGGGGTTGAAGGCCAGGCCAGTGTGGTTCTTGGTTACCAGCCTAATTGGGCCTGACATTGTTGCGGCAGCTGCCAGAAGCCTGAGCTGGAGGGCTCCCTTCCCTGCATTGCCTCTGTGCCGGGTAAGTCATTTCTGGAGGAAAGAGGTGGAGACCTGGGCCTACAGTCTGGCTTCATGGCTTGAACCTGGTGAGGACTGAGTAGAAGTTTTAGAAGGGTCAATAGGCCCACCTGGGCTTCTGACTCTATGATCCAAGGCATCTGTGTCTTTCTTGGATCCACTTGACCATCTGCAAGCTAAAGGTGGTCTTTTCCAAAGGAAGTGATGAGTGGGGTGTGAGTGCACCAGTACCATATAGAAACCTTGACTGTGGACTCCAGGACCAACAGGAAAGGAAGGAAGGAAGGAAGGAAGGAAGGGAGGGAGGGAGGGGAAAGATGTCAAAGGATTGATCACGGGAGTTCCCTTTCAACCGGACCTCTCTCCAACTGGTCCTGGAGAAAGGGAAGGTGAAGGGCCCTGACAGGCCAGGGGAGGCAAGCACAGGTAGCAGCATATGCTGACTCAACAAAATGAGATGATTTTTTTTCCCTTGACTTTCTCCACTCTGAGGTAAGGACCATGTTCCTGTTTCCATTACTCCCTGTCTTTCTCCTGAGTGTGGTGACAGTGGCCTCAGAAACAAAAACATGTGAGGATGCCCAGAAGACCTGCTCTGTGATTACCTGTGGGATCCCTGTCACCAACGGCACTCCAGGCAGAGATGGGCGAGATGGACTCAAGGGAGAAAAGGGAGAGCCAGGTACATGACGGGCTGCTCTGTCTTCCTGAATGTCGCCAGCAGGGGACTGTTCCACATGAGGGATATAGCAGAGACCTGGGGAGGCTCAGCTTTTATTATGGTGGATATTAGTGCACCTGACTAGTCCCTATAACACATCACTGCCTTCCAAACAAAGGTGCTCTCTGGCTCTCCAAGATTCCACACTTCCATAGAAATTGGGGGTGTGTGATTGACTTCAGGACAGCCTTCTTGCCCTGGGATGCAGAAGCACTTTCTTCTCTGAGTCACTACTAGTTCCCTGGTTCTTTCCTGGGGTCAGTGTGAATCAAGTGTTAGGGAAAATGAGTAATGATCATGGGTCATTGTTCCTTGCTTTGTAACAGGTCAAGGGCTCAGAGGTTTGCAGGGCCCTCCAGGGAAACTGGGGCCTCCAGGAAATACAGGGGCACCTGGGGCTCCAGGACCAAGAGGCCAAAAAGGAGATCGTGGAGATAGTTCGGGTAAGGAGCACACCCCAGTAAGATCTGGGAAGTAATAAATTAAAAAAAAAAGAAATTTGTGTATTTAAAACAAAAATAAATAAACAAATAAATAAAAACAAAAGTTATATTTCAACCCCCAAAAAATTATTATAACATTACCATAAGCAAAAGGTGAAGAAAAGAATCCAGGATTATAGTCACAAGTTGCTAAGGGTGACTAAGTCTATTAGTCAACTTTTCTCACTGTGAGAAAATCAACCTAAAGTAGAAAAGACTAATTTGGTCCATGGTTTTAGAGGAGTCCATTTGTGCTCTCAGGCTCCACTGTTTCTGGGTCTGTGAGGAAGTAGAACATCATGGCAGAAGGGTGTAGTGAAACAAAGCTGCCCACCTCATGGCAGCCAGAAGCAAAAGGAGAGGTAGGGAGGAGTGGGGACAAGATATGTCCTCAAGGACAAAGCCCCCAGTGACCTACTTCCTCCTAAAGTGTCCACTATCCCCCAATAATGCCACCAGCTGGGGACACTCCAGATCCAAATGATAACATCAAGATATAACTGGGAAGACAGAAATACAGTTAATTTTTTTTTGCTTCATTTTGATTTCTTGTTTTTTTTTTTTTTTTGCAACAAGCTTACATTTAAGTAAGCCAAAAAAAAAATCCTTTTCCAAAATATTCTGTTCTCCAATTTGAGGTCTTCTTACTAAATACCCTTGTCTCTATTGCTTTGCAGCTGCTGAGACTAAACTGGCTAACTTAGAGAGAGAGATAAGGAACCTGAAATCAGAATTGGACCACATCAAAAAGTGTAAGTCTTTTCTCTGCCCCCAACATGTACTTGACACTCACTTTTTTCTTCAGCATGAACTAGATTTGGAGGGAGAGTGGAAGAGAAAGAACTAACACTTAGGAATACTCAATACATACCAGGGTCTGTGCTGGGTTGTCATTTTCCTGTAATAGGGTTTCATTCAATCCGCTCACCAATGTTAGTTGTGGTTGTTATATGTGTTTTGTCTGCAGATGAGGAAAAAGAATTTCAGGAAGCATAGGGAACTTATTCCACATCACACTGCCAGCAAGGGGCAGGGGAAGAAGTGAAGAGGGATCTGTTGTCTCCAAAGTCTTTGCTCCTTTCTTGACATCCACTGTTCCTACATGGTTGTTGGTACCTGATCCTGTCAGTGAGGCCCAAGCATGTCTTCTCTGTCCACCAAGTGCCAGGGTAGTTTTTAACCAATGTAGGTCTCAAGGATGGGATCTGGCTGTCTGCCAGAGGTTATGTCCCTTCCATGACTCTACAGCTGGGAAATGGCCTCCTCATAGTCTCTGTCAGAGGGCATTCGCTTGGGCATGGTACTATTTTTTAGAGTCCAGTTCCCAGAGAAGGGCTTTTTCACCTACTGTCCTGAGCTGGGCTCCAGTCAGCCTCATCTACTCTTTGTGATTTCAGTGCAAGCCTTCTCTTTGGGCAAAAAGTCTGGAAAGAAGTTCTACGTGACCAATGGTGAAAATATGCCTTTTTCCAAAGCGAAGGCTTGGTGCACAGAGCTCCAGGCCACTGTGGCTGCCCCCAAGAATGCTGAGGAGAACAAGAACATCCAACAGGTGGCCAGAGACAATGCCTTCTTGGGTATCACAGATGAGGTTACAGAAGGCCAGTTTATGTATGTGACAGGAGGGAGGATAACCTACAGCAACTGGAAGGCGAGTGAGCCTAATAACTATGGCTCAGGGGAGGACTGTGTGATTCTCTTGAAGGATGGACTCTGGAATGATGTTTCCTGCTCGTCCTCCTACCTGGTTGTCTGTGAGTTCCCAGCCTAAAGCATCTCATTTCTCTGGCCCTTCCTTGTCTCTCTGCTGAGCTCTATGCTGCTTCAAAAGAGAATTCAGTGCTGGTTTCCCATGGCTAGAGTTAAGTCATTCCTGTTTGGAGAAGGAACTAGAGTGAAGGAGGCATATTTAATCGTGGGATGGGGAAATGGCAGAAGCTAACTATGGGGCACAAGGATCTGGTCCAGCCCAGGGGCATTGTCTTATCAGAACAGTACTGAAGCAGATTCAGCCATTGGAAGGGCCAAATAAACTCTCTTCTTTTACAGTGAGGACACTCAACCTGCCAGAGGGACCCGTGGAGTGCCATACCTGTGTTAGAATAGATAGTAGATCTCAGGGACAAAGACATCCAATTCCTTCTTTCCAATAATTGCACTCCTTGGTGCCAATTATCCTTTCCTAAACCCTTCCCCAGGGCCAGCCTAGCACTCTCCATGCTATGGATATTGTCTCTTGGTTTCATGAGTCACCCCCGGGCACCTTCCACTTTCTGACTATAGTATCTGGCAATATCCATATGAGTGACAACTATTAGTCCTAAGAATCCCCTTACCCCACTCAACTTCTGTGGCTTTTCTTTAGCCACTAGAGTGAACTTGAGGGCAAAGAACATCTTTTCCTTCCTGCATAATTTTAAGGGGATGATTCAGCATCATGATACATACCAGCAGCATGGGAGGAGACAATTGCAGGGTGTGCCCTTCTCACAGACATTGTTAGTCTCTGTCCCCACTGTCCCTTCCTTTCATGGTAACATTCTATCTCCATTGTGGGTCAGTGTCCCATTATTAGTATACACAAGAGGACAAACTCTCCCCAAGTGAGTTCTACACCCTAAGGGTCCAATTCTGCAGGACCAGCCAATCAGCAAATGCAATCTCCTCTGAGCAGCGTTCTGCTGTGGTTTTGGCTCATGATTCTGCTTAACCATGGAGGTTTTTCAACTACCTCAGGGTGAGGAGATCTGAGATTTCAAAGCATCTATGCAGCAAACCAGGAGAAGAGGATGAATTGCAACTCCAGCTGCATGCCCATCACAAAATGAGATTGGAAAATAATTCATAAATGGAACAAGGGCCACTTTCACTTAGTGAAAAGTGTTTGGTAACCTTTGTTTTCTGCTTTATTTCTCTTTGTATCTGAACTACCAAGAGAAGCACTCGGTGGCTAATAACTGCTAGACTAATATTTGTTAAATGAATACATCAAAGAATTACAAATGAACAAATGGATTGGCTACTGAGAAGTGACTGTCAGGCCATACTTCTTCCTGCCAGGAGGTGGGGGTAGGGGACCTTCTGCAGAACTGTTCAGGCAGGCGTGGGAGTTGGATTGGGACATGCTGAAGGTACTGGGGCCAGCAGGGTAAAAGTGATAAGACTTTTGTCCTTGGCCTCTAGCACACCTAGACTGTCACATTACCAAATTTTCTTTAGCTACTGTGATTGGCAGTAATGAAAACATTTTTGTGAAATACAGCAGAACAATTCACTACTTTTAATTGGAATCCAGGCTACTTACCAGTGGCATTGGAAACTGCTTAAAACTTAGAGGCACCTATGAAACCATGTATTAAGGAAAATAGAAAAAGGAAAGACTAGAGACTTTTTAGAAAATGAAAAATATATATGTATGATGACCCAGAATGACTGTAACCAGAACATAAGTTTCACCTAAATTTTCTCACAGCTACAACAGCTAAATTTTCTCACAGCTACAATAGGTAACTCTTACATAATTCTTTCTTATTTATGGTAAGGGTGAGGGGTTGTTATGGTATACCCAAGACGAATGTCCCTTTTGTTATACCGTGCATAAAGGACAGTCTCTATGCTATAAAACTGCAGAAGACGCAGTTTTGTCAGCTGCAGGGATGGTTTCCCAACAGGTGAGGGTCACCGGCTCAGTTCCGGAAATGCAATAAAAACTTTTAGGACAAGCTCAAGCTCTTCTGTTGTCCTCTCAGTCAGTTTCTGTTTATTTTGTCTCCCATCCCCCTTCCTCTTGCATCCCTCCATTACTAGAGCTTCACATTCCTGCCCCAAGAGTTCTCTCTGCCACAGGGACCCATCCTCCTTCTCTCCTGCCCTATCCCTGGCCACTTAGAGAGTCCCTGCTGGTTCTCTCAGCCCACCCTGCAGGGCATGCAGTTTTCCCAAATGGATAGAGCTTGTTCTTCCCCTGATCCAGCACTTGATGGTCCTTTCAGAGCTCCTCTCTCTATATGTCTATCCCCTTCCCACCACCATTTTGACCTCAACCTAGAACTATCTCTCTTTCTCTGTATTCACTTTCCAATGGACCCCTATCAGGTAGCTTTGGAGAAGGTAAGTTCATCTTAAAATATGGAATTCTTGTAAGAGTCCAAAGATAGAAATTACAGTTCACCCAGGCCTCCCAGCATACCTAGAACAAGAAAGAAATGATGGGTTCAAGGTGTCCCTCCAGTCTCTTTTTCCCTCTCCTCCAAAGGCTGAAGGCAGATGGTTCTTTACTAAAGGATATACAATGATTGACATCTCTTTCGTACCATTTTAGTCAGCTTTTGCATTGCTGTGGATAAAATTGCCACTTGAGGAGGAAGTTTATTTTGGCTCATGGTTTTAGAGGCCTATGGTTGGTCAACTCCATGGCTCTGGGCTGGAGGTAAGGCACATCATTATGGCAGAAGGCATGGTGGAGGAAAGCAGCTGAGGACATGGTGACCAGAACACACACACACACATGCAAACACACACACACACACACACACACACACACAGAATACTCTGCTCACCAGGGGAAAAAACAAACAAACCCCAAAGATACACCCGAAGTGACCTACTTCTCTAAACTACTTGCCTACAGTTATCATTGTAATCCATATTAATGAATAAATCCACTGATTAGATCATACCTCTCATAATCTGATCATTGAACCTCTGAAAATTCTTAAGTTGTCTCACACATGAGCTTTTGGGGGACACTTCATTCTACACCATAACACATACCAACGAAGCTGGACACTCCAAGAACAGATATTAAGGGACCACAGGCAGCATGTTCTCCTTGAGAATGTAGGAATGGAGATGACTGAGAGGAATCTTTTGAGCCTCATTGTTCTAAAGGAATAGGTGTCTCTGCTACCCATTTTCCATGCTGGAAATGTTTTTGGAACAGGGAGCTGGCAGACACCTCTGAGCTTCGGTCTTTCTTTGCTGCTCTTTGCACAGAGTGAAAACCTGGTGGTCATGCTGCAGAGCATTCTTGGAAAGGAAGTCAGTATTCAGAAGTCTATGAAGCCTAGACTCTGGCTCTGGAGCCATTCCCAGGGGGAGAAAAAGGCACAGGTCACTGTGTACCATATTAGGGTTGAAGAAGAGATGGTTTCGTAGGTGGAAAGTTCTAAGTTTGGAAGCAAGAGACTGTCGATTGAAGTTAATTCCCTATTGATGCGATGCACTGAATGGTATGTTGACTTTCTGGGCCACAGTTTCCCAGGCTTTACCTCAGTCTCTAAAGGGTTCTGTCTTCAAAAGCTATAGGAACCAGTGGTCACATATAGATGCAGACTGCAGGATCATTTCAGGAATAGAGTTGCAGGATCTGAAATCTGCTTTCAGTTTTTATTGCCTAAGCTAATTGTGGGGTAAATACCAGCTATTTCTGAAGTCTATAGAAAACCAATCTGGGTGAGTGATATTGGCCAAATTATATTGTTATATTTTGTAACATGTGCATGCACAGATATGTAACAAACAATCCCATCAGAATGTACAACTAGAATGCACCAATAAAAAATGTGGGGGAAAAAAAGAAAAGAAAAGAAAACCACTCTGGGTAAGTTGGAAGGGCAAATACAAATCATCCATAAGTTGGAGACTTTGGGCTTAAATTGTGTCTGTGAGTCCATGTTCTTCTGTGGAAGCTGAAACATGACCAGTATGACCATAATTACCAAAGCTTGTAACATTCAAGGCCCAGATTCCATCCCAGGTTCCAGATCCTGGAATTTCAGGGACTTGATCCTACAGGACAATCTTCCTTTGAAGTTCTATAACTCTTGCTTCTGACACCTTTGGCCTTGCTCCACCCAGAGATGGGGACTCAGGGTAGCAGCTGACGCCTGCCATTCATGTCTGTCAGATCTCCTTCCCTTCAGGGAAGCAAATCTTCTTTCTCTGTGGCTGCCTGAAATTGATCAGTGCCAAGAGTCAGGCCGTGAACTATAACCCGCCTCCCTCCCCTCATATGACATGCTGAGCCTCTGACTTGGGAGGTTGTTTGCTTGTTATTATGTAAATGATCTGTGCTTTGGTAACTGCCAGGAATCAGAGGTTTCTTTTTCTTTTTTTTTTTTCTTCCTCATTAACCAGGAATAGATCTGATGTTATCAAGTGGCTGGAGATGTCAGGAAGTGGATTTTGTAAAGTGATGTTGTCCTAGTAACCCTGAGTGGCTGATAGATTCCCAGGAAAGCAGGAGGAGCTCAGGACAGGAGGCCATCTGGGAAGGGTGCTTCTGACCCTGGTGACCACTGTGTGGGGAGGGCGCAGAGCCTCTAAGAAGGAAGTGGTGGTTTGTCCAGGCAAACACAATTTTCATGTTTTAAAGAAATAGGGTGCAAGTAGCCCTTTACTAACTAAACAAATGCTTCAGGCTAGCTACTGCCATGCCACAGTCTCACCTGCCTTTTCCTGGCAGGTGAATGATTTATGCCACCTCATGTGGCCCTTCAGCATAGAGACCAGAATTGATTGGAATGCTTGATAAAATTGTAAGATCTAGTTCCATTCTGGACCCAGTGAATTAAAATATCAGAAATATTCATCTTAGTGAAGTCCTCAGGTGATCTGGAAGTTTGGCCAGTTTTGGAAATCACTGCCCCAAGAAATACAGTCACCATAGGGACTTTCTGCCTGCCTTTCACTCTCACAGGGTGACTGTTATGGGGAGTCACCCCAGAAAGCACTCTAAGTCTGAATTCAGATCAAAAGAGAGCTTTATTT